GGACGCCTCCTCACAGCCCACGGCCAGGGCTACGGCAAGAGCGGGCTGCCCACCAGCCACACGACGGACTCACTGCAGGTCAGGACTCATGCCCAGGGTTGCTGGAGCTTTACATGGCTTAGTATAATTTGGGGAGCACAGCCTCAAGTGTCAGGACAATCTGAGAACAAATTGGAGGTTTTCGTGTCCTGAATTGAATGTCCATGTGAGATTGTTCGGGCTATTCCTTTCCTGGTCATTGGTGTGTTCCTTCTGCCTGCCTGAACTGGAGTCTCCCAGTGCCCTGCACTGTGACCTCAGTGCAGCCCTGTAGCCAGGCCTCAGCGTGCTTGTCACCAACTCTTCCTTCCTCCTGCAGACAAGTGTGGCCAGAGGGTGGCAAGGAGGTTCCCTCCTGGTGGGTACCACAGAGACTGCCTGGCGGTGCAGCTCCATCTGCTCTTTAAGTTCATTAAAGGCTATGGCTGCACGTTTATCTTCCCCTGCAAAGTGCGATCAAGCAGGATTTGTCTCTGCGCCTGGAGTATGTAGCGTAACATCCTCTGCGTTCATGCTTGTTGTCAAAAATGACAGGGCTGGGGCTGGTGAGATGGCTCAGTGGTCTAAAGCACCTACTTGGAACAAGCTCAGCAAAGCACAGGGAACACGGTTCAATCCCCCAGCACCACATGCCAGCCAGTCCCGCCCCCTGGTGGGCTGAGCTGGACACACACACACAAATAAATAAAAAAAAATTTAAAAAAAAGAAAAGAAAAAGTGTTAAAAAAAAAAAAAAATGACAGGGTTCCTTTCTGTGTGCAGCTAGTACTCCACCAGGTGTGCCATACTTCCTTTATCTCTTCCTTCGTTGATGGACATGATGAACTTCACATTTTCATCAGTGAAGTCAGATCAGTTGAGGGCCTTTCTAAGGTACCTTTCAGTTCTGAAGGTCTCCAGCTGTCCCTCATTCACTTGAATCACACCACTTTGCTGAGGGTGTCCACATCGCAGCAGCTGGGAGTGCCCATGCTTGTGGTGTCATGGCTACATGTGCTGGCACTTCCCCCTGTGCCACAGCCCCAGCTTAACAGGTGGCCTGGAGACCGCCATCCTTCAGTGTCATCCCTTGCACAACGCACACAGCCATGCCCTCTCCCCATCCACAGTGTCTTTATGCACATGACCAAAAACAACTCCACACTGAGCAGCAAAAATAAGGCCTGAGAACATATGAATATAGAAAAGGGAGTTGTCACCAGATGCCGGGCCATAACCTGCTATCTCTATCTTGCTTTGTGTTTCAGCTTTGGTTTGTAAGACTGGCGCTGCTTGTGAAACTGGGTCTCTTCCAGAATGCCGAGATGGAATTCGAGCCCTTCGGGAATCTGGACCAGCCAGACCTGTACTATGAGTACTACCCGCACGTGTACCCGGGGCGCAGGGGTAAGGCACGGAAGTGTGATGTTGGGGTCTCTGTGGTTTGTTCCCCTGTGCTTTGACGGATGTCAAAGAGAGCCTCACTTCTTTCATCCCAATCTAGAAAATGAAATCTCTGTTTTAGACACTGTGACCTGTGGGTCTTTGGGTCCCTGAGGAGGAGCCATCTGTGGAGGACCTCTGAGGACCGCAGCAGAGCGGGCAGGTGGTGGGGATGGAGGTTGCACACGTCCCCTTGTGCCCCACATTGGGAGCGTGACAGTATTTCCTGCTCTTTTCCATTCAGATTTTTAAAATTGGTTGTGGTCCACAAGGGGGTCACAGTCACAACCATCAGGCTGGTTCTGGGACAGGGACAGGACATGGGGCTGGAGGGAGCTAAGGCAGACTGCAGAGCAATCCAGTAGGCTGGAGAGGACCTGGGGTGGTCTGCACCCTGCTGTGTTCCTGTCAGGGAGAAATCCTTCATTGCGTGATTCTCCTGTCCTGGGAGCTAAGCCCTTTGTTCAGACTTTTCCTGGCCATATCTTGGCACCTGCTGAGTCGCTGTGCTACTTTGGGCAAGTTAGCTACGGCTCTGTGACCAGCACCCTCATGAGCAAAACAGGGATCTGATCTGCTCTCCCACTGCGTTGGTATGAAGAGGAAGTGACGTCACATGTCAGAGGTGTGAAACGGTGGCTGGCGCATCTGCTATATCCGCTACTTTACCCTGTGTTGAGTTCCTAAACAACATCTTCCGCTTTTCTCTTAGACCATGGGATCAGCATTTTTGGTGGAAACTTGCCTTTCTATGAATCCCGCAGGCTCCCACACGGGGTCTTCTCACCCTCGGGAGGAGGGCTGCGGGGGGGAGTGGCTCCAACCTGCCCTGAAGGGCAGCCGTCCTGCCTCTGCATCCAGGCACAGTGCTGGCCGCCATCCTTCCTCGGGCCATTCACTCCTGGGATGCGGAGAAAACAAGGGCCAAAATGAAACCGCACAGGGGACGGATGGAGAGAAGATGGCACCAACACATCATTAAGCAGCTAATTCAAATTAGCAAATGGACACAAATCATACATATGTTTTTGCTGAAGTGTGCGAACACCCATCCACAATAATGTGCTGCGTATTTTCTAATTTTTCTTTGCATTCTGTGGAGCAACAAGCATAAACGTTAAGAATTTGATTTATTCATTTCATTTTGGCTTGCAATATATAAGCAAAGCAAGTCGTTAAAATGTGCTTTAAAAAGGAGGTTACAGCAACACAAACAAATAAATAACTTTTATGAATGAGCTTTAATATATTTCATTTAAATATTGGGCACAATTTTTACCCAGTCAGAGGATTCATAACAAGACATACAATGAATGGTGTGAAATCACCAAGCTGTGTCTTCATGTGAGAGAGCGGCAGCGTTGTGCCCTCGGGGTCCTGCCGAGTCCCAGCAGCTATGCTACACCCCCTTGAAGCAGTTTGCTGGACCTTGGTCCCAGCGCCCTCCTCTGAGCTGCTGCTCCGGATGCCCTCTTCGTGTACCCTCTCTTGCAGCAAGGGCTGAGTGCAGGTGGTTTGGGGTCACAGGAGGCAGCCTGGCTCTTGATTCTTTGCCTCCTCTTATGAACTTTAAAATCAGCGTGTCGATATCCACAGCCATCCCCTTGCTAGGACTGCACTGAATCTGGACTCTAAGTCCTGACAAAGCGACCTCTTACACCCTTGAGTCTTCCATCCATGAACATGGAATGTGTGTGTGACCACCCAGGTTTGATTTCTTTCACTGGAAGACTTTGTTCTCTTCATTCTGTCTTTTGGATTCATACCTAGGTGTTTTGTTTTGGTGCTAATGTGAGTGGTACCCTGCTCCTGATTTGTTAATTGCTGGTATTTAGAAATCCAGTTGACTTTGGTGTATCACACAGCATTTCATTACCTGTGTGGGGAACCACGGACAACTGATGCAGCTGTGATCCGCTTCCAGGCTCCATGGTGCCCTTCTCCATGCGCATC